CTCTGAGTCTGCCCGCTATGGGGACCTGACCTTTTCCACACTGAGGGGAAGGAATGGGGTAATTAGCTTATATAATCCCCGGCCTGCTTGCTGTTTGCTGTGGATGTGGACAAACTCCATGAAAACGTGGCTGCTGTTGTGGGATCCCTTCAAAGGGCTGGGTATGCCAGCCTGGCTGGGTCCTGGGAGGGGAGCAGGGGCTCTGGAAGGCTACTCTGGGTGCGGTCCTTTCACAGCCTTTCCTGGGCTCCCTCCGAGGTGTCTGTGAACTTGTGGAGGGAGTGAGGGTATGGGGAGGGGCAGCAGCTTCCCCAGGGACTCAATAACACACCAGTGCATTCAGATTCTTTCCAAAAAATTAGAGGAGTGTGCGCCCTCTGCAATTATGTTTCTTCTTCCCTGATTCTAAGCCTGAGAGCAGCTTTGGTCTGGGCTGATGACATTCCCATCCTCCATTTTTTTTTTTTTTTTCTCCTGATCTCAGAATCCACAAGGAAGGAGCTTCGTGGTTTCAAACTCCTCTCTCCCCATGCTGTGAAGGTACAGTGACAACCTGCACTCACACCCGCTTTAGGAGCTTGGTCTCCAGATGTGCTGGGGTAATTTCTGTTTGCACAAAAAAAGTTATAATAAGCCTTTGAGACCCACGTCTGTCCGTATAACATCCCACAAACTCACCTCTCGGGTGTCTTGCAACCTGAAGCCAAGGCCTGGGCCTCCATTTCAAAGGCTTGGCAGGAAATTCAATGTATCTGATGGATTTATGCATTTATTATTTCTTTAAAAACTTCTCTAAAGCTGAAGTAATACAGGAAAGTGCATGCGCGAATGTGCAGCCCCAGGAGCGTTCACAAACTGAGCACATCTGTGCCAGAGGCATCCAGATTCAGAAACAGGATGTGACCAGCACAACCCCCTTCATGCCCCTCCCAACCACCACCCCACAGCGACCCCACCATCCTGGCTTCTGTAGCATTGATCAGATTTGTCTGTTTCTGCACTTTATATAAATGGAATCATACAGCCTGTTCTCTTTCGTGTCTGGCCCAACATTCTGCAGATTTATTTTTATCTCTGATCCCACCAGAGCAGTTTTCCGGAGGCTTGGAAAGATAAGCAGGTCTCCCGGGTGGGGACCGCTGGCGGAGTGACGACCGGGTGATCCGATGGGCACCGTGGATGATCGAGATCTACCGCGGCAAACCGGTGCCTCAAGGGCCTGTCCTGGCCCCGCACTGTGTTGAATTTCACCCGTGCAGTGGGTAAAATATATGCCAATATGTGTATCAGAAATTGGGAAAAATATGTAAGAGAATAATTTCACGCACTTAACCCAGAGTTGACAACTTAGTAAACCTCCAGTCATGTTTTTTGAGGTGAAATTAACATGACATAAAATGAGCCATTTTAAAGTGCCTGATTCAGGGTTCTTCAGCACATTGACAATGTTGTACAGCCTTCGCCTCTATCTCTCCGTCTAGCTCCTGGTCGCTTCCCAGCCCCTGACAACTGTGAATCTGCTTTCTGTTCCTAAGGGTTGATTCCTGCTGGATTTATATCAACTGCACCATGCAACAGGTGGCCCTCTTTTCCGAGCTTGGCCACTTTCTAGCGTGTATCATGACTTCATTCCTTTTAGTGGCTTCCCGTCATTTTTGCTTCATGTCATTTTTTTTTTTTTTAGGAAAATAAAGAAATGCAACATTATTGATAAACTCGATGAGTCTGCTCTTCTATAGGGTCACTTCTGTTCCCCAGCGTCATCTCTGGGGGAAACAACGGTCATGAAATTTGTCCTTCAGAGTGTTTTTGGTTTTGTTTCTTAAATTGGGAATTATATGACAAGATGAGAATCTGTTTCCATCTTCTTTTGGCCAATCAGAAGGTCAGGTTGTACTGGAGCCCCGCCCCACGGCAACCATTGGCTGCAGCTTCCTGGCCCTGCCTCTCAGGTGGGCTTGAGCTCTGCCCACGATCCTGACCCCACGGCCCCACGTGGCCCAATTCACTTGTCTGCTGCTTACTTCCCAGCCTCTGAGTTTTAACCCCTAAAGGATTTCACAGTCCAGGGGTCCCCCGTGTGCCCCACAGCAACCTCTGCTGACGTTTCCTCTTTTTGCAGATATATGGAGAAAATAAAGACATGATGTGTTTTCCATCAAGATCTGATTTAAGGGTGAGCCTCTATTCGGAGATACCATTTCTCTACCTTCTCAGTTAAAAATGGTCGTCTTTTTTTTTTTTTTTTCTTTTCCTTATTTTATTGTATTTTTTGAGACGGAGTCTTGCTCTGTTGCCCAGGCTAGAGTGCACTGGCGTGAGCCAGGCACACTGAGGCTTCCGCCTCCTGGGTTCAAGCAGTTCTCCAGCCTCAGCCTCCTGAGTAGCTGAAATTACAGGTGCCCACCACCACGCCCAGCTAGTTTTTGTATTTTTAGTAGAGACGGGGTTTCGTCATGTTGTTCAGGAGGGCTTAAACGATCTGCCCCCCTTGGCCCCACAAAGTGTTGGGATTACAGGCGTGAGCCCACCTTGCGCGGTCCAAATGTTCTTTTATGAGATAATTGTGACAGTGAATGAGTGAGTCTAGGGGTGCTTTTTCTGTAAAGGCCCAAAGTAAATACTTTCCATTTTGCAGGACCCGAAGTGTCTGTTGCAACTAAGCGCTGCTGTTGTAGCGCAGTAGTAGCCACAGACCATATGCAACAAGTGACGAGCTGTGTGCTGGTAAACCCGAATTTACAAAGAAGTTTTGGGCCGACTGTGGTCTCTGGGCCATCGTTCGTCTGCTGTTGATCTAATAGATGGTAGTGGTGGCTATATATTTTTAAGTGTTCTTCACTAGCAAAACCCAAAATTTAGCAATGGTAGAAGTTACTAGTCCCTGTGGTAGACATTCCAAGTGCTGATGAAGATTTCCTGTCCCCTTGATGTTAGGCAAGTCAGGTGACTTGCTCTGGGCTATGAGATGTGAGTAGAAGCAACACATGTCACCTCCAGGCTGAAGCATTTCCAGGCTGTTGTGCATTGCAAACAACAGCATCCACCATGGCCCACACTGTCTGCCATCACGGCTGTTCTACCAGAGGTGTGCATCGCAGTGTCACGGTGCCTGTTCTTTCACGGAGATGATGGTGCTGGTGGGGGGTGAAGCAGAGTTATGCTGAAGGATGGTTGGGGAGGTGGGTGGGGCAGAGGGAGCCGAGACTTGTGCATGGGCTGGGCTGTGAATGAATGCTGTGGTCGCTGACTTGCCTGTGAATGTGACCAGGAGCAGAGGTGTGTTGGAGTGGGGGTGGGGAGAGTGGGGGTAGGGTGGGGAGACACCTGCTGGAATTGAGAGTTTCATTTTCGACATGTCAAGTCTGACATGTCAAGTCTGAGATGTCTTTTAGAGATCCAGGTGGAGAAGTCACAAAAGCAGTTGGAAATAAGAGTTTATTTCAGAAATTATCAGTTGGGGGCTGCTGGCTTATTTGGTTTAACTTGGATAATATTTATTTATTTACTGAATAATATTTATTTATTTATTTATTGAGACAAGGCCTTGCTCTGTTGCCCAGGCTAAAGTGCAATGGCACGATCACAGCTCACTGTAGCCTCGACCTCCCTGGGTTCGGGCGATCCTCCCACTTCAGCCTCCCAAGCAGCTGGGATTACAGGTATGCACCACCACATCCTGCTATTTTTTTGGTATTTTTTGTGGAGGGGGTTTCACTATGTTGCCCAGGCTGGTCTCAAACTCCTGGGTTCAACTGATCCTCCCGCCTCAGCCTCCCAAAGTGTTAGGATTACAGGCGTGAGCCACGGCACCTGGCTTAGTAATAATTTAAACATTAAACATTTTAAAAACATTTTAAAATCGGGAGATTTTACATTTATAAAGTCCAAATTGTTTGGCTTCCTTTGGAAGCTGGAAAGATCTGGCTGTGCTGGCTCTTATTTCCCCAGGCAGAGACCTGCGGAGCTGGGGGGCGGCTGCCCTCTCAACAGGACACGGGATCTACAATTGCCATTGTTTCTTCCACACCCTGCAGGATCCTTGATCCTGAATTTGCATGTCTGTTACCATTTATTGTTTTGTTCAGGATTCAACTTTCCTTGTAGTAGAGAGAAATCTTGACTCTTTCTCCATACTCATGTCTCTACTGAAAGTTGGAAAAAAACAGTGCAAGAGAGGCATGTTTTAAAGAAAGGAGAACAGCATATACTTTTTTCTTGCACTTGCTGTGTGTTGGAGGATAAGCTGTAGCAGCCAGCAGATGAATTTGAACTGAAGCCTGGGAGTGCAGCTGCCACCTGGTCTCTGCACCCCCGAGATCGGGATGGGCCTGGCACCATCTTAGTGGTTCCTTTGGCTTTCGTTGGTGCAAGTATTGGAATGTGCTTTGTATTTTTGAATAATTATTTTATAAAAATGAGTAGGGAAAACAAGAAATTGCTAAAACCAGAGATGATAAGTAAAGGTGTCTCACACCACTGTCGTCGTTACCATGATGAATGTCATTGCACAACATGGCACATCCGTGGCCTATGTGGATGCTCAAGGGAGGCAAACCCAATGGCTTCTTGTTTAGTCTTCAGATTCAACTCCTCTAGAGAACGGTGTTGAGCTGAAACGTGGCACTCACTATTACATCTAAGGCAAGGGGAATGAGGAACTTTGTCAAAATGTTTTCTCTTTATGAGAAGAGAAGCTCCCTAGTGACATATATGAGGATTGCTAGGATTTTCAACACTTAACCTTTGTACATGTTTTTAGCAAAGCATTATATTTGAACATTGGAGGTGATTGTAATTTTATCTATCTATCATCTATCTATCTATCTATCTATCTGTCTGTCTATCTATCTATCTATCTATCTATCTATCTATCTATCTATCTACCTACCTACCTACCTACCTACCTACCTACCTACCTACCTATCTAATCTATTTATTTATTTATTGCCCAGATAGGGTCTTGCTCTGTTTCCTAGGCTGGTCTCAAATTCCTGACTTCAAATCATCCTCCTGCCTCAGCCTCTCAAAGTGTTGGGTTTACAGGCATGAGCCATTGCACCTGGCCTGTAATTTTATTAGAATGCGATATTGTGGAGATTCTATGGGACTTGACTGTCTCAAGGGCTAATGACCTGACTCCATCACCAGCAGTTTCTTCCTTCTTTTAATAAACGTTGAACACCTACTATGGTCTGGGCGTTTTCTTAGACACTGTGTATGTAATGGTGAGAAAAGTCAGACTTGATACCTGGAATACCAAATTACTAAGGGAGTCAGATATTTGTAAAAATATCACACAAAAAACGCAAAAGTTCTGGGTGACAAACTGTTACGAAGGAGTGGTATTTGTTGCTCCAATGGTGTGGAAGGTGTGGCAGGGCAGAGAAAGCCGCTCTCAGGAAGGGCTACCAGCTACCAGCTGCCAGTTGGAGATGAGTGGGAGGGTGGTGGTGAAAAGGAGAAGGAACTGTTGTGGGGTTTGGGATTTTATTTTGCTTTACATATAAGCTTGTAAGTTAGAGTGCTACTGATTCATGGATGCTGGCAGAAGACACGAGACTCCTGGATCAGAGACAAAGGACTTCATGACTCACAGCACAATAAGTAGCCTGCGCTTCAGCATGTGTGTTCCCTTGCCTCAAGTCCCATGGACGACATGGTGGGTTTGTGTTACAGTTGAGGAACACAGAGCTTGGGAACCAACCATTTCATAGCAAGCAGGAAGAAGGCCTGCTCTTTGTGTGGAGGGAAACATTGCCTTGTCCCTAAAGGATGCTGGCTGCAAACACAGCCCTGAAAAAGGGCCCCGGGTGAAGAGCAGTCAGGGACTCACATCCTTGGCATCTGTGGTACATTTGCTTTCATTTTTTTATTGCTGCTGTAATAAATTACCACAAATTCAGGGGCTTAACACAGCACCCATTCATCATCTCACAGCTCTGTGGATCAGAAATCCAGAGGGACCTTGCTGTTCTCTGCTCAGGGTCTTACAAGACCACAATCAGGGTGTCAGCTGGCTTGACTTCTTAGCTGGAGTTTCTGGGGGAGAACCCACTTCTCTCCTATTCAGGTGTTTGGTAGAACACAGCTCTGGTGGCTGCAGGATTGAGGCCCTGTTTCCTTGCTGGTTGTTGGCCAGGGGTGTTTCCAGCTTCCTGAGGCTGTTGCTGCCTCCTCAGGAGCTCTGCTCCAGCCTCAAAGTATCAATGACAGGTCATACCCCTCTCATGCTTCAATGTCTCTGACTTCCCTTTCTGCCACCAGCTGGAGAAAATGCTCCACTCTTAGGAGCTCATAGGATGACACTGGGTGATTGCACTTGGATAATCCAGGCTCATCTCCGTGTCTTAAAGTCAAAGATGCCACAGACCCTAACATAACCATGGCAATGACATCTCCCCATAGTCACAGTTTCTGGGGATGATGATGTGGAATGTTGGGTGTGCAGTGGGGGCACTTTTATAACTCTACCTCTCGTGCCTGGCAAGAGGTGTAGGTGTGTGAGAGATCCCTGGAGGACAAAGGTGAGCTCTGGGCAGAGGGAGCAGCCTGTGCCGCGTCTGTGCATGGTTCCCTGTGAACTTGTGTGATGCTCAGATGGTTCTGTGGTGGCTCTGGAGTCATGCAGAGGAGGATTTGAGATCTGGCTCCACTGCTGTGTGACCTTGAACAAGTCACTTCACCTCATATTGCTTCTGTTTCTCCCCCTCAAATGGGCGCTTATACAGGATGGAGGATGCAGGGTTGCTGTGAAGGTGGAATGAGTTTAGCACAGTATTTGGCTGCTGGGGGCAGCCTCCTGGTCTGCAGATGCAGGATGGACCACCCTCCCCCCAAAACCTTGTCCGATGCAGAGAGGAACAGGACGCACACCGGGAGGTAGGAAAAGTTGATTACTTGCATCATGGGGCTTCCTGGGGAGAGCAGAGCAGACTTACCAGCAGGTTTGAAAATGGTTGGAGAGTACAGGGAAAAGAGGCTGGTTGGGGTTTTTACGGGGGCTGGGGTGGGTCTGGAGGATGGCTTGAACGGCTCCCTCATGCCAAAGGGAAGAGCACCTGGGCTTTCTTACTAGCTTCCCCAAATGGGGGGCAGAGGGACAGATTTCAAAGGAGTCAGCAGGCAGACATGAAAAAGTGGGGTCAGACTCTTTAATACGCTGACATTTGGTAGGACCCAATAAATGTGAGCCATTGTTTTTGTACCCTCCTCCCCAGTGGCCATCCAGCAGCAGCCCAGGTTCAGCCCTGGCCGTGCACCCCTCCTGCTGGGCACCCTACGTCCAGGGCCTCTGGTGGGGCCGGCCCTGCCCCATAGCGCCATGCTTCCCACAGCACGAGTGGCTACTCCTTCCCTCCTGGGTCAACACTGCCTGTGTATTCTCAAAGGACAGTTATAGTCACACATCGAGAAGCAAGATTTACTTCCTAATTAAAAGGGAGCTTTCTGAACAGTAAATCAATCAATCATAGCCATGCACAAACGCTCAGACAACAGTTGCTTACACTTGTGTTTAATTTCTCAGGGGGAACAAACAGCTCTCTCTGGGTGCCTGGGATTCCAGGTCTGTGGCTTACCCAAGAGCCCTCATTTGAATTTCATCTAATCAGAATCATTACCCACCCATGAAGAACACAGCTTATTAACCACACGATCATCGTCTAAAACTAAAGCTCTGTCAGGTCACCTCATAGTCATGCAATTAGGCTCAGCAAGCATAAAATCCAGAATTATTTTGAGACCCATTTTTAAAGTTTAAACAAATGGTCCCAGAAAGATATTAAACAGTATTTTTTCTGTGGATATCACAGAAGTTTAATTTATTTTGTGTTATTTTGAAGGAGCGCCCAGCATTCTCTTGAGCCCTGGCAACGGCCAGATTTAAACATGGATAGGTGCTGAAATAAATGTAGTTCACTTAATTGAAAAGCCTGCTGATGGCCTAACTCTATGGGCAGCAGAATCACGTTCATTAACAACAACAACAACAAGAGCAGCAGCAATAAAAGTAGCACCAGCCAGCCTTTGTTGAACCTCTTGGCCACGCCAGATGTTTCGGCAGGTACTTTACCACCAGCGTCTCTTTTGATCTTCACTCTGTTTCTGAAGAATCTCTTGCTTTGCTGCAAGAGATGAAACTAACATTGTGTCTGCACATCTGCTCTCTGCCAAGCCCTTTCCCCACGCGTCCTTCCGTCACCCCCGTGGGTCCCCATGTCACAGCTGGGGAAGGCAGAAGTCTGAGAAGTCCAATCACCTGCCCAAGGCCACACCCCTGGAGTGGGGAGTTTCGGGATTTGAACGCAGACCAGCCCTACTCCTGAGTCTCCTCCTCCCACCCGCTCTGCTGCCCCTCCTTTTCTGCTGATTCAAGAGAAGGCATTTCCAGCCCTTGGTGGGCCTCTACAAATAGTTTTTAGGTGATAACTTGGGGCTAGGGGTTGTGGATTATTTTTCTGGCTCTGTCCCCAAACTAAAAATGACAAATGTCACCTGGAAGGCTGATGCAGCTTCTGTAATTTTTTGAAACTTAAATAATTTTTACTGATACCTATGAGTAAAAATTGGGTCCTCATATATTGGTGGATCATGGTCTTCTCAGTCCCTTGTCCTGGGAACATCTCCATTGAGCTTCTCATGCTACTGCAGGTGGCTTAATCAGAGAAAGGGAGATGGTGAGAGAGAGAGAAGGAAAAGGAGAGAGAGAAAGAGAGAGAGAGAGAGAGAGAGAGAAAGAGAGGAGCAAGCTGGCAAGATGGAAGTCAGTCTTTTGTAACCTAATCTGGGAAGTGACAGCCTATCACTTTTGACATATTCTATTCATAGAAAAGAATCACTACATCCCACCCACCCTCAAGGGGCAAGGACTACCCACGGGTGTGAATATCAGGAGGTGAGGATCCTGGGACCATCTCAGAGGCTGCCTGCCACATTGGCCAAAGTGAATTGAAGCTCTCTGATAATTACAACCACCCATGAGGTCGTGAAAACTTCATTTTCAGTTTCTGTAGCGGGCTTGTTTTGTTAACTGTCTTTACCATGCAGCTTCTATTCCCCCTACTTTTGGGAACCACCTCCAGATTTCCATCTGGGGAGACGTCTTCCTCCGGTTTGACTTATGTGCCCTGTGTGCTGTGGCCTACTCCATCTCAGGGGTGGAGCCAAGGACTAAGCCAATCAGTGCACTTCATGTATTGGGCCACACTGATGGGTTCAGGAAGGGACATGTTACCCAGTTGGAGTCAATGAGACTTTTGTTGGGAATCCTGGGAAACAGCCTCTGGGTGTTCTTCCTGTTCTACTTGATGCTGAAAGCAAGAGAAGTGGGGAGCTGCTGCACCTTTGTGACCACGAGGCACGTGAAGTTCCGGTGGATGCTGCACTGCCTCCTACTGCAGAGTCATGATGCAGTGTGGGAAGGGGTTGGCTTGTTCGGCCCAAGGGAGATAAAGCCATGATTTACTCAGGAATGAGGACGAGATTCATTTCTGGCCAATGAGATACCCCAGAGGAGCTGCAGGGATGAGTGGGAAGCCCTCCCCTCTTTCTATTGCCAGAGGTGAACAAGAATGCATGTGTGACCTGGGCCGCTGACAGTGTCCCAGCCAGGAAGAAAGCCAGCCTTTGACGAGGCTGGTGTTGGGAGTGGCATGGCTGAGCGAGGTGGTTAAAAGCATGCAGATCCTTGGGACTTTAAGTTACTAGACTAGCCCTGGTGCTCTGCCTACCTCGAGGCTCCCTCTTTGTGATCTAAGAAATTGCCTTATCATTGCAACAATGCTGAGTCATGTTACTTGCAGCTGAAAGCAGTCGGATAGACCAACCTGAAGGAAATTAGAGAGCAGGAAAACCCTGGGTCTTGGTGATATTGTTTGAATCCCTGATCAAGCTGTGCCTGAAACCAGACCTACGTTTGAGTTTTCCAGTTACATGAGTCAAAACGTTCCTTTTATACTTAGACTAGGGGTTCAGTTTCTTCCTCTTACAACCAAGAGAGTCCTGATCCAAGTTCATAACTAAAGGCAGATCCAAAAGAACCAACCTTACAGTATTTTCTGTTGATGGAAACATTTTATGCTCAAAATCTCTTATCAGTTTCAATTTCTAAAATGCTCTAAAACCTAGAAATATTCTCATTAGTTTGACACCAAGACACATTTGTTGGCAAAACCTGAACCAAACTCATATGTGGCTCCTTTGAGTCTTTATTTCAAAGTGTGAATATTCCTAAGTTTTGCTACAAAATATTAGTGGATTTCATTTCAAGGGGCTGCCTCAGACCTTGCCGGAGGGGTTATATATAATATATAGCATATGCAGTTTCTAAAATGCACAAAATTGTAAATTCCCCAACAATCTGGTCCCAGGTTTTGGGTACAGAAAACCCAGAGTCCATCATGACAGTAATACTGAGGTGTGGGTCAACGTGTAAGGGACGAGCTGTGTTTTCCAGTAATTTTGTTGTTTAGTTGATCATGTCATTTTCTTCTAACTCAAACTTAAAGAGTTTCTAATTTGTCTTGGGCTGAAATGTGCTTGTGACAGCATCTATTCCGAGTCTCCAACCTAATTATGTTTTGCATCATTCCAGAGATGGTTCATTTTGACCGAGGCCCGTCTGGTGGTTCATTGCTGTGATGTATTTCGGCATCATGGACGCAGGTTCACCAGCCTCGTCTCGACCTTGGAAATGTTGTGGTATTTTACAGTGTGTGGTGACATTTATCGGCCCATTTGGACACCCACAAAGAGGTTGATTTCCATAGATTAAATGTCAAGTTTGAAGCCATCCAGGGTAATTGAATCCTTGAATGTTGTCCACTTCGATTCTCAGCTGAGGCCGTTGACTGGACTTTGTGCTCTGTTACAAACTCACAGGTGTAGCCCAAATTGCTTAATGCCAAAAGGTCATTCTGTGAGTCCAGGGGGAGGGCATTAGTAGGGAGGACCATGGCACTGGAGTTTGATACCTGCAGAAACGTTGCCTCGTTTTTATTTCTTTAAATGCAAGCATGTATGTGGTTAGTTGGTGAAAACGTTACTGGGGATAGAAGAAAAAAACCCCACCAACTAAGACTTCCTAGATGTCAGTTAGTTTAAAATATGTAACCATCTATGTATTGACAAGAGCAAAAGGCTAAAAAAAACTTCACTGTAATGTTTTAAGTAGGAATAGTTTTAAAGGGCATTAAACACATGTACATAAACTGGGAGTGAGCTTCATTTAAATTGAAGGGTAGCAAAAAAGCATCAAATAATTTCTGAGATATTGAAAGCTCTTCAATTGCTGATTGTCCGGAGAACGTGTGTATCTTCAGACTTTGATCTGAGTCTCTTGAATTTTTGTCCTCAAGGAACTGAAGTTAAATGGATCCAACATGGGTACACCCACATCCATTTCCTCCGCTGCTACGCTGTGGCCAGGAGGCGACGGCCAGCCTCAGAGGCCTTCCTCATTGGGATTTCTGGCTTTCTGCAGGTTCAGCTGTCCACACAGTGGCATGGCTGTCTCAGCTCGACTCTAAGCATTTCCACCAGCAAGATCTGCTGACCAGTCTTCCCTAAAAGTCAGGGCTGTTGGTCAACATACACCGGTTAGTGAAAACCAGGGTGAAAGTTAATTCACCCCTAAGTTTCAGAAGAGTAAAAATGGACATGTTGATTTCCTGTCCAGGCTAGGGATCAGGACAGGTCAAGGGAGCTAGCTTTTGGCCTAGATTTTTGCTGCCACCTGTTGTGGGCATGCAGATGACATGAATGATGAATCCTAGATTTGTTTTGTGATCAAGAATGAGAACAAACAACAACCTGCCATTGGAGGTTCATTCCCCACTCAGGCGGGTGCTGTCTCTGCTCTGGCAATGGGGCAGTGCTGAGACAGAGATCAGCGCAAAGCAACCCTGCTTTCCGGCCACTGCTTGACTGTGGTGGAGGTGTCTGATCACAAGAAGGGACAAATGCTCCTCCAAGGGCAGCTGCTTTGCCTGCAGCAACGACTTGGATGCCAAAACATGAGGATTTAATAGGGACAGGCTTGGCCAAGCATTCAATTGTTTAGTCTACATCAGGCTAAACCTCTGGGTGATTAGAAACATCTTTGGGGTTTGCGGGGCCACGTGATCTGTCTGTTATAGACTCAGCCCGGGTCAAGACCAATGAAAGACACATGGTCAGAGGAGGATGTTTTCTGAGTAGGGGAGGAGAGGAGGAGGTAACATCTGCTCAAGGCTATATTCATTTCCTGAGGCTGCTGTACCCAGTACCCCAAATGGGGTGGCATAAAGCAACGGAAATGTGTTCTCTCACCATTTGAGAGTCCAGAAGTCTGAAGTCAAGCCATCGGCAGGGCCAGGCTCCCTCTGAAACCTATGGGGTAGAATCCTTCCTCGCCTCTTCGTGGTTTCTCGTGGTTTGCCTGCAAATGTTGGCATTCTGTGGCTGGTAGACACATCCCTCCCCTTTCTGCCTCTGGCATGGCATGGTGCCCTCTCCTGCATGTCTGTGTCTCCACAGGGCTGTGTCCCCCCGAGTGTCACTCTCTCCTCTTCTCATGAGGACACCGATCACACTGGATGAAGAGTCCACCCCTCTCCTATAAGACCTCATCTTCATCTAACTAATCACATCTGCAACGACCTTTTTTCCAGGTAAGTTCACCTCCACGGGTACTGGACGCTAGGACTTCATACCTTTCTGGGGGACACAATTCATCCAAATACCTTGCTTCCCCTTTTCTCAGAACCTAAATCGCCATGATGTTTCTTGATGGCCGTGGCCCCTATACCCAGCGATGTGTGTGAGCACCATACTCAGAGGTAACGACAAGATTCCTTGAAGGGCTGTTCTTTTGGGTATCAGCTCTTCTGGGCTGGGCAGCCCATACCAACCTAGGAGTTTCCCACTTTGGGGTTGGAGGAGGGGTGTGGGGAGACAGAGCACCATCTAGGTGACTGGGAGAAGGCTTCTGCTATGCGGCTGTGTTCTCAGCACTGAGTAGTTGGTGTCTGCAACCAGACCCTTGGAAAGAGGAAGGCAGGTAGCTTTTATAGAGAACAGAGTCCCTGAATAAGAGAAGCTCTTCTGCTGGGGCTTCTGAGATTTGGGGGCTCTGAGCCCAGAGCTTGCAGGGGAGGACCCAGATTTCATAGGAATTCTGTCCCCTGGTATTTAGTGAGCCTCAAATCATGGAGTCCCTTTAGGAACATGCCAGAGGGGTGGCAGCCAGTGTTCAGAGCTTAGAGGACTTAGGTTCTCACAGGCTTTAGCGCAGGGATTCCTGGGTTGGCTCCAGCACACCCACCTGTGGCTGGACAGGAAGGTGAACAGGACATATTTGGGTGGATGGGCCTTGTAAATGGGTCCCACCCAGTGGAAGTCCCCTCAGGCCCCATCAGCCAAATAAATGGAGAAATCCATCCCAGGAACAGCGAGGCCTGACCAACAATGGGGAGGAAGGCCTGTGCCTCCATGGAGGGTGGGTAACTGAACACAGACCCTCCTGCCCTGTCTGCGCCGGGTCTGAAGAGTGCGCCAACCCCCTACTCCTTGGAAATGAAACACAAACCAGCTCCCACAGGCTGCTGCAAACTCTGCTCTCCTACTTTTTAGGGCCCAGTTCATGAGGCCTGAGGACATGCTGGCTTTTCCTTCTGGCCAGGTGGACACTCCATGTCCCCAGCCCCCATGTGTAGGAGGAGGAGAAGAGAGACAACTAGTCAGTGTTTAGAAGGAAAATGGTAACTGTCGGGTTGATATACTCGGGGAAGGAAAATGGCCCAATTGGGCAACCTGGAGCTTTCTGTGCTGGACGGGGGGTGGCTGGGACTAGGGGTGGCTGGGACAGGTCAGCAGGAGCGGTTTTCTTAGAGGGATTGGGAAGCGCATTTTCTCCTGTGAATCTAGGCCCAGTGGCAAATCTTGGGCCTATTCCTGCCTTTAAAGCTGTTAAATAATTGCAGATCTCTTGAGCAAGGAGAGCCAAGAGATTCTCTAAGTGTTTTATTCTTCCTGAAAAACAAGCCCAGGGATATCTGGATAGAGAAACACCTGATCAACAAGTTTGTCATAAATAAGGATGGTGATAGGTGCAATGGAAAGCTACATTGAAGGACCTAGACAAATATTTTTAAAGTTGAATCACTTTTTTTTTTTAAAGCCCTGCGCAGAAATTCCCAAGGTATCAAAAACAAATGAGAGAAGCCTTATTCTTATATCAGCCAAGAATGGGTGTGGACGTGAACATTCTGGAAGGGAGACGCTGATGAGTTAAGAATGTCTAAGGCACACTTTGTGTTCTTTGCAACATCCCATGGGCAAGTACGCAGGGGACTGTGTCCTCGGGATTCAGGGGAGCTCTTCCTTTGCCTGGCATGGCCCTGGGTGCCTGGCGACCGACATGTACCACCCCTGGGCAGAAGCTCTGTCTGGATTCAGTGCACGCCCTGCTTGGGCCAGCACAGCTCTCGCGCAAAAGCACCTTTGCAGCTTCTGATCTCATCATCCAGCTCTAGGCACTTGTTCAGGCCTGGCACTGCAGATCTCCAGCCGATGAAGCCCTGGGTGGTCTGTGGGACTGGCGGGGATGGAAGGACCTGGAATGGAAATGCAGGGGATTTAGTGACTTTGGGCCACAGAGACACGAGGCATCCAGCGTCGGCATGTGAGGCAGGGGTGGAAAAGACAAAAAGAAAAGCCAGCCTCCCTGATGTGTACTGAAAACAAGCACATTCCAATCGGCTGGACTCAGAGGCTCCCATCTTTCCTGGAAGTGATGAACATCAAACACGTTTCTTTATCGTGTAATGTCTAACATATTTAATTCATGACCTCCAGCAAAATAATTTTTATTTGGTAAGAAAGCAAAAAAAAATATGCAGAAATATCAAGTACAACAGTTCTCACTGCCTTTTATAAAATATATGGCACTATTGTCAGATGGCATTGTGGCAGGCGTACATCACTCTGTTTCGATGAGAAGGCTCTACGATATGCGTCTGTATATACACACACACTCCAAACTGTAGAGATCACAGGAATGAAAAGCAATTGAATTTAATTTTAAAAACCAAAAGTAAAATGGGCTTCTATCTGGAATGAAAAAACACAACTTCATTTATCAATTCCTTGGACAGAGTTGACATTTTTGGAAAATGAGGGTAAATGTTTAGGCAGATTTTCCCCTTCTTTTGAAATAATCTGTTCTGCTCTTATAAGGGAATTTGAACAAAGGCAACAGTGCGGGACATTTGTTCTAGCAGAATAACTGAGATAAAGAGGTTTACTATGCTTGGGGTTATGAGTTCACTTTTACTAATGGAACCTGCCGGTGAGGCGGTGGCAGGAAGGGATGGTCCCAAGTGGGCTGGCTGCTGCTGTGGATGAAGACCCTTAACATATGCTCTTGATGAACTCCTAAAATTAGTCTCCTGCAAGGCTACATGTAGGGTGGGTCATCAATGAATGCCAGAAGCTTCTTTGAACCAGCTACGAGCAGAATTGTTCAGAAGGGAAGCAGCTCTCAATTCTGTTTGTCCAGCCAGGCCTTTGGGAGCACATAGACTAACTTCCAAGTCTTTATCTAACTTGTAAAAGAAAGGCAGTTGAAATCCACTGTGAGACATCATGTTTTACCCAGCAGAGGGGCAAAAAGATGAAAATACCACTGTTAACAAGGGCATTATAGGAGTAAGGGCGATATGGCGATTATCTTTTTTTTTTCTTTTTTGAGGTGGAGTCTGGCTCTGTCACCCGGGCTAGAGTGCAACGGCACGATCTCAGTTCACTGCAACCTCTGCCTCCTGGGTTCAAGTGATTCTCCTGCCTCAGCCTCCTGAGTAGCTGCGATTACAGGCATGTGCCATCGTGCCCAGGTAATTTTTATATTTTTAGTAGAGACGGGGTTTCACCATGTTGGCCAGGTTGGTCTCGAACTGCTGACCTCAGGTGATCTACCTGCATCGGCCTCCCAAAGTGTTGGAATTATAGGTGTGAGCCACCTCGCCCAGCCTGGCAATTATCTTTTGAAAGTGCAGATGCAAAAGATAGATTGTTTGACCCAACAATCTATCCTGATGCATTCATTCTAAAATATCCTGATAGCTACACACGTACACACCCATGGTGGTGCAAGGGATGCCTTGTGGAGCTGTTTGTAATAGCAAACGATTGGACATAAGCTGCATATCCACCCATGGAGGCTCATTCACTATGGCCCATCCACACCGTGGTGTATCATGCAATGGTTTAGAAGAATGAGATAAACTTCTAAGAGAAAAGAGGTGCACGAAACTATTCAAAGTATGGGACAAGCTGTGTAATAAGAAAATGAAGCCAGAGGCCCATGGATGTCCTTGTCTATGCAAGAGTGCATAACAAATGGGTGACAGTGGCTCCAGGGGTTCAGAGGGAAGGAGGCATCTCATTGGATGGCCTTTTAGGTATCAAGGTTACCTATTAAAAATAAATATGATTTTAAAGACTCTGGTCACCAATGAGAGGATGGGAAGGTGGAAGAAAGGTGGAAGAAGGAAACCAGTTACCTTTTTTTTTTTTTTTTGAGATGGATTCTTGCTCTGTCGCTCAGGCTGGAGTGCAGTGGCATGATCTCAGCTCACTGCAAGCTCTGCCTCCTGGGTTCACGCCATTCTCTTCCTTCAGCCTCCCAAGTCGCTGGGACGACAGGCGCCCACCACCACGCCCGGCTAATTTTTTGTATTTTTAGTAGAGACGGAGTTTCACCATGTTAGCCAGGATGGTCTCAATCTCCTGACATCGTGATCCACCCGCCTCGGCCTCCCAAAGTGCTGGGATTACAGGCATGAGCCATTGCATCCGGCCACCATTACCATTTCTTGGGCAAGAAAGGAAGTTTGGAGGGAAGCAGAGGCTGGGGACCTTTGTCACCTGAATCAAAGTTCTTTTCCTTACCCCTGCCACCCCACAGGCTCTGTCTGGTGAGTGTGGCTTTAACAGCGGCCCTTGCTCCTAGACAGGAGTCTCTCACAGGAAAAAACCATGTTTCGGAATGGTTTCTCCTGCTTCCCATTCTCCAGGAGGGGCACCTCTCTGGTATCCAGGTGGGGGCACTTTCTTTGGAAAGAGAATAACTGTGGTTGTGCAGAGCAGGCCCAGGGAAAGTCCAGCCTCATGGGCAGGCAAGGGATCTGTGGGGACAGCGTGTGGCTGAAGGACACTATAGACACTAAGCAGATCCCACATCACCGTATTCTTGGGATGGAGGTGGAGGCAGGGAGTTGGCAGAACTAAAGCCCAGCTCTGGAAAAATGTCTGACCTACATCCCAGTCTCTCCTCCTCTGTTCTCCGGCCAGCCCAGTGCTCTAGACCACAGGAGAGCGAGCTCCCTAAATGGGTGCATTTCATCTGAACAGTCACCTTTGCAGGCACTAATTCCAAGCAAATGACAGACCCAGAGCAAATTGCTGTGTCTACAAGGGTGTTCCTTGCAGGATTATTCTCCCAAATCTCATGCCGGATACAACCTCGATGGCCAGGGACAGGGGACGGTTAAATAAATGATGACAGATCCACACAGTGGAGAAAAATGCAGCCATTAATATAATAGTGATTTAGAGTGCTTTTTTAAACTGCATGGAAAGATGTCCAGGGTATGTTGTTAAGTAGAAAAATGAGATTACAAAGCAGCCTGTGTTGTTTGATTTGTAAACATATACCTAAGAAGTATATGTGTGTGTGCACTAGTGTGTGTATATACATATACATGGACATACATTTGAGGAATATTTGAGGGTAACATTTAAAAGCAGGGCTCTGGAATCAGACACACTTGCTGTGTGGCCAGGGAAAGGAATTCAGCTTTTTTTAGCTTCAGTTTTCCCATCTGCACAATGGGTTTGAGGATGATAGTATCAGGGGTTGCAGGGGAAATAAGATGAGACAGTCCATGTGAAGCGGTCAGCACGGTGAGCAGCTAAGAGATAATAACAAGAGCTTGAGCTGGTGAGGTGGTTACTCTTACAGGTCGAGGGACATGTAGGAAAACCTCTGGAAGGAGCACCCCCAAAATGTTAATCATGGGTAAGAATCTATATGGGAGTTTTAATTATCTTATATTTTGCTGTATTTCTGAATAGTTTTTAGCAGTGGCTCTATATTGCTTTACATTTGGGGGAAAAACTGTCAGCATGACTCAGTGGAGCACATTCATTCATTCATTCATTTGTTGGCGCTCACAGATGCCTACCCACCAAACGCTCACTGCTTGCCAGCTACCCCATCAGACCACGAGCATGCCAGGCAAAGGGCTGCAGCTGAACTCCCCTTGCCCTGCTGCCTTCATCTTGGGTTTTCATCTGCTCTCCCCGTCAGCACGCAGAACCACCTTCTCCATAGCTGGGCAGAGGGTAGAACCCCCGACCAAAATGACAGACCCATGAGACATATGGAGCTCAACAGTTTCTAGAGGGATCTGAGCCATGTCTGCCATGGTGCAGGCTTCAGGTGAGAGCATCGTCTAAGACCTCTCTTCTCTGGGTTTGCCCGGTCACTCCTGTCCCTCTCCCCACAATCTTTTCTCCACTTAGCAACCGGAGCCATCTTTCCAATAGGCAGGTCTCACCCTTCCATGGTCCTGCTTACAACCCTCCAGTGGCTTCTGCTCTAAACTGGACTCCAATTGCAATCCTTCTTCTAGCCTGCCCACTTCTCCCTTCGTATTTCTTCCTATCCCTTCATATCCTTTCTCTGCCCGCACCTTCTCCTCCTGCTCCCACCCTCCACCCAAGCTCCCACCACATCACCTTGCCTTCCTGTTCCTGAAACATAGCAGCCTGTGTTCTGCCTCAGGGCTTTCATACATGCTGTTCCCTGTGCCTAGAATACTTTTCCTAGGGTGGGTGCCTGGTCATCCATCAGTCCTCAGCTCAAAGGGTACCTTCCCTGACAACCTCGCCCTCTCTTATCCTGTGACATACCACCGGGCTGTTTCCTCCATGGTGCTAGCACAGCATGTCCAAATGGTGTTGATTTTCTTGGTTAATGTTGGTTCTCTAGACCCAGACATGTGGGCTTGGGTCTTCTCTTCTTGTTCATTACTGTTTTCCCAGCCAAGCTATTGCACCTTAGTAATAGCTGACTGTCATCGGCACTCTCTAAACATGCTGGGCACCCCGCTGAACTCTGACGGCACTCCCTGAAGTAGGTACTTCATTAACCTCCATTGTATAAGAGAGGCAGGGGAGACACAGAGAGGTCAAGTCACTTGCCCAAGACCACACAGGAGGTGAGCAGCCTAATAGCACAGGGATCGGGTGGTCTGATTCCAGAGCCCCCACCTGGACCTGCCCTGCCTTCCTGCCCACCCCCTGGAAATGTTTGCTGAAATAATGCATGAAGACCCCATTTTCCTGCCCTCTCTCTGCTTCTGCAGAGCAGGAGGTCATGGCACTCGCACGTGTAGACTTCAGCCTGGAATATTTCCCATGGCTGGGTTTGGGAAGGGCGTGAACCTGGACTCTGCACCTGGCACCGCTGTGCTCTTACCTTCAGCACTGGCTTTGCACATCTGGAGCCATCGGTTTCCCTTGGGGCTTATTTCTTTCTTAGGAAAATGAGTATTTAAAAACAACGTTTCGAACCTTGATGTACTTCTCCACTGGGGTCACCAGCCGGATGCGGAAACGCTCAGGAAGCTCGATTTTGGGCTTTGGGGTGGGGAGATCTTCTTCACACTTGATCAACTGAAACAGAATCCCCAGAGACGGGAAGCCTCAGGTGAAGCTGGGGGAAATGTACTCAAACAGAATCCCCAGAGAC